TCCACATAGCCAAGCTGTCCATTACCCTTCCGGCACAATAGGGGGGACAATACAGGGACAAAGTGCAGATTTATCCTTATCCCCGACCCTGGTATCACAGCCATAGAGCTTTTATTTTACCAAAGCAGAGTCAGGAGCACACTTATCCCTATTCTTCCGTATAGGCTTATTTACTAAGGTAGGGGCAGGAGTATACTTAACCCTATACCCTATCCCTCTCAACAAAAACACCCATAGAAGAATGCCAGAAGCAGACTAATTCCAATCGCCGACCCTCATATTCCAGTCATTGGGGCTTAATTATTTAGGCAGTCCCAGGGGTAAGGGTGATGTATAAATTGCAGTACAGCAACGATATTATGTCCTCTGTGTGTTTAACAGAGTCTGTGCAATGAATGATGATTGCTGAACATTGAACTGCTCAATGAAACCAAATTAGAAGTGGAATACAGAACTTTCTCTTTTCATTCTTTTTATTTTTTTCCTTTTTATTTTATGGATTCAATATGCATTTTGATATGCACGTGTCTGTATCTGTACATCCATCATGGTATCTACCTTGGGATGCACACATAAGACATATACATATAAATAAATAATTGTCTATGTATATATGTATTCTAGACCCCTTGGCTCCCTAAGCCTCTCCTCCCTCCCCTCTTTCTATCTCCCTTCACCTCCCTTCTGCTCCTGGCTCCCTACCCCTCACCTCTCTGCCATCTCTTTTCTCCCTTCACCTCCCTTCTCCCCCTAAATCCCTTTTCTCTTTCTCCATACTACTCCTACTTTCTCCCCCCTTCACTTCACTCTCTCCCACCCCTCTCTCTTCTTCCCCTCCAGTCCCTTCTCCCCCATTCACTGCTTGTCCCCCTCCTATTTCTTTTTCCCTTCATGTCTCTTTCATTTTCTGCTCCCCCTCCCTACTCTGTTTCTTTTTCCCTTCCAGCCCCTCGTCCCACTTTTCATCTTCCCTTCCCTCTCTGTTGTTCCCTAACGCTCCCCTCTCTCCTCTTAACCCCCTTTCCCCCTTCCCTCTCTATCTCTACCTACCACTTGCCTATTTCCATTCTTCTCCCCCTTCCCCCCACCCATGTCTATTTCTCCCCTCCACTTTCTCTTTCTCTCTTCTGCTCCCTTCTCAACCATTCACTCCCTTCCCCATCCTCCCTCCCCTTTTTCTCACTTCCACTGCCAGTTCGCCCTTCACTTCCCTCCCAACCCCTACCTCCTCTCTTTATTCCTTTACTCCCCTCTCTACCTCTCTCTACCCTGTTTCCCCGAAAATAAGACCTACCCCGAAAATAAGATAGATAGTGAGAAAAAAAATAATTTCCAAATCAGCGGTGCTCCCTAGCTTCGTTGGCAAGTGTTGGAGCACCCCACACACAGCCAAGATAAATCTTCTGAGTCAGTGTACCATATCACTGAGATCTTCTTCCAAAATATCTCCTTCTAGCCCCATGCTGAACTAGTGTTACCCAAAACACAACTCCATCACATGCTTACCGATATGTCTCCTGCTATTCACAGACATGTAAAGACACAGTAATGCAGGTACATAGACACCAACTAAACCAATAATGATTTGTAAAGGGTGCTAAACCATAGCGACCAATGAGAGTTCACCTTCCTTTATGTCATTTGCAGAAAAAGAGTCTTGCATTGTGTTAGCAATTAAATAATGCCAAAAATAATTCATAGTGATACCTTTTAATGGCTTACTTCACTTGTGAACCTAATAACTTGAAGTGTATTTAAACCAAAAATCTAATTCCTTTCCAGCTTCGGCACCCAATGATATGCAGATGCTTTTATGCTTTTAACATAATTAAATAACTGAAGGGAATAGCGCAGTTTTGTGTGAAAAGTTTCAACTATTTTGGTAAATGAGTCTCTCTCCCTCTATCTCTCTCTCTCTCCCCCGTCTCTCCCTCTCCAGCTGTTCAATTTCAGAGTAGTTCTGTCCCAGTGTCCCAGGATTCAGGGAGCAAGTGGGCAGCATGCAGATCTATTGAGGACGCTACAACAAAAAAGCTAGGCGCCAGCAGAGATCTAGACGCCTTGGTAATGGCTACCTTGTTACATTATAAATTATTTTACAATCACAGGAGTTTATCCTTGCATTTCATATGCTAAGCGCTGTCAGATTTACCCCTCCGTTTCTGTACCCTGGCCACCAGTGATCTAACAATTGGGAAAGACCCCTCCGATCCCCAGGGACACTCAGCTTCTTGTAAGGACTGGCTTTATATACGGAACATTACTGCACGCCTCATTACAGGCGACACTAATCCATGTGCACAGAGCTGGCCCTTCCATTGTGGCAGAGGGCAGGGAAATCTATACAATCTCATTAAAAGCTACTGTATGGATGGGGAAAACTCATAGATCACTGGTGGAGGGATAGGACACTATCTGCATGGATTACCACTAAACACTTTCTGGGAGCCAATCTCAAGTAAAGAGCTTGTTAAGCAGTTGTAGTGTCAGAGGTCAGGAAACATTAACAGCACCCGGCAGGGCACGCTGGAGTCTGTAGTTCCCTGGCTAATGCAGCGTTCCAAGATTATCTATCTATCTATCTATCTATCTATCTATCTATCTATCTATCTATCTATCTCTCTATCTCTCTTTCTCTCTCAAATATATAATTACATACACATAAATTGTGTGTACAGTTGTGTGTGTACCATTTTTGGGATAACTGGATAACTGTACCATTTCGGCGCAGTAGCACCAGAAATAACACACACACACAGTAGTACTTGCAAGCAAAAGGGGTATAACAATCCATAGCAATACACAAATGTGTATACAATACAAAGTAATTTTGGTTACAGCTCATTACAGAAAAAAATAACATTAAAGAACATCGATGTGTAAAAGTGAATAGAACATGTAACGAAGGAAAAAGAGATAAAGTATGCTTCGCAAATCTAAAAGCACAGAAGTCATTAGAAGAAAAGACAGGAATGAAGTCTATAGAACCAATTAGTAATTATTAAATTCAACAAATGCACAAACGTCTCGTCACACTGTTGAACGAAATACATACAAACAGGTGATAAAAAAAATCTTAGCACAGGCACAACAGCCCAACAAGATTCACATAAAGCACATACAAAGTGTAAACAATATATACAGAAATATGTTTGAGACCAAAGATTGCAGTGTTTTTTGTTCATTTAAAATAAAATAAATGTAAGAATCTATAAAATGGAATAAAGCTGTGTTGGCCAGGGTTGGTAAACAGGGCTCTTTGTGTTGGTGTGGGTGGGGTGGATGGTAACATGAATAGATTAGCCCTCATTGACTAGACAAATATCAGAGCTTCTGTCAGGGAGATGCAGGGTTCTGTCAGGGAGATGCAGGGTGATACAATGTTGCAGTTTGTACATCAGGTTAAGAGCTACTCTGCATTTGTAAACATCTGCTCATCGGGCTCAAAGATCCCATCCAGCCATCAATATCACAAGTCTCAATAATTACAGCAGCACTGCACACATACAAATGTGAAGATCAGATCAGAGGCACCAAAGTCCTATTCTGATGCATCCCAAAGACCGATAGGCTCAGGCCAAGACATTGGTGTTTAGCCCCAGCGCACTGCCCTAGGTGTACTAGAAGACCTCATTATTACTATGATGACTTGTATTGCCTCCTATAGATCTGTACTGCTCCTCATTTATTGCTTTATTGTTACTTAGAACTATATGCTCAAGTTCAGATTTTGTTTTTTTGTGTGTTTTTTTGGCTGATAACTGATTTTTCCGAAGCTTTCACTGATCATAGAATATCTCAATCCACTATTTAGGTAAATTGTATGCTAAAGCCAGTACAATGCAGACATTGGCTCTCTCAGTGAATATTCCAGCTCATATTGTCTTCCATGTATCCATGTAGGGTCCAGCTCACAATCTCTCGTGGTTCTTCCGCTTCTTGCATTATGCCCAGCATAACAGTTTGACGTTTCGGCACATATCAGATCTCACATTTTAGTGGCTGGATTTTTTGTTGGTTCAGTTTAGCAAAGCAAATTAGAAATTCGATGATACAACGTAATGAACACATTTTCAGTGAACATAGGGAGTACCAGACCAAGACATGGTGTTAAAAGGAGGGATACAATAAAATGGGCAAACATTGTACCAGGGTAGATGTGTGCTACGAGTTGTGTTTTACTTTTGCTGAGTTGAATAAAATCATATTCTGCAACTCTGTATAAAGTGGGAAGATACAAGGCCTTCAACAATGACATAAATACAAATAGTTTAAATAGGTCTGTCCATTATCTATCTATCTATCTATCTATCTATCTATCTATCTATCTATCTATCTATCTATCTATCCATTATCTATCTATCCATTATCTATCTATCTATCTATCTATCTATCTATCTATCTATCTATCTATCTATCTATCTATCTCGAAGTGGTTGGGATATATATATAAACACACACACACATACCATATAGTTTAAAGAGATTACTATCTATCTACATACACACACACAGACACACACACACACACACACACACATCATACACACACACAAACAACATACATACACACACATATCTACACACACACACATTTATATATATATATATACACATACACACACACATATATATATTCACACACACATGCTTGTTCTTCTTTTTTTTTTTTTTCTCAGTGAAGAAGAAATAAAGACACGTGCAGTAGCATTTAAGTTGGAAAATAATTTTAGCACGGGTAGGATGTGTTTCCTAGTGTGAGTGTATTAATAAGCTTACACTAATGCAGATCTCAGACTGGAGCTAGCATTCCAGGCGGTGACGTCACGCCCACGTGACATGGCTGCTGGTACAAATAGTGAGTGAGCATAGGGGAGGGCTGCAGTGTCAGGCTGAGTGTGGCTCAAGAAGCTTGTGCAGTTTGGATTCCTGCAGAACTATAAGGAGGAGGAGGAAGAGGAAGAGGAGGAGGAGGGGGAGCTGACACTGGAAAAGGGGACAAGAGGAGGAGGAGATGAGGGGTGTCAGGAATTGACCTTGCGCACACTGGCCCCCCTAAAGCACCCAAAGGGTTTTGCTGTCACTGATCTTCTTGTTTAGGGGGAACAGAGGAGCCCATTCAGGCTTGTTCCACTAGGGGGGTCCTGGAGTTTGGCTTGGGAGTAGACCAGGACTTCCTGCTCTCATCATTACAATGACTTTGGGAACTGAGATGTGCGATAACTCCCTCCTCTCTGAAGACACCGACATCGATGTGGTCGGGGACATGAATGCCAAGGAGGGCAAGTACTCTGACTACCAGTCAGACAACGACTCGGATGACCCCCTGTCCAACAGGAGCCACCGAGGGGACGCTGCTTCTCCCGACCAGGACTCTAACCCCAGAGGCGTCGAGAAGAACCCCAAAAACACCCTGGTGAAGCCCCCCTACTCCTACATCGCCCTCATCACCATGGCTATCCTGCAGAGCCCCAAGAAGAGGCTAACCCTCAGCGAGATCTGCGAATTTATCAGCAATCGCTTCCCGTACTACAGGGAGAAGTTCCCAGCCTGGCAGAACTCCATCAGGCACAACCTGTCCCTCAATGACTGCTTTGTGAAAATACCTCGAGAGCCTGGCAACCCGGGAAAGGGCAACTACTGGACCCTTGACCCCGAGTCCGCAGATATGTTTGACAATGGCAGCTTCTTGAGGAGGAGGAAAAGGTTTAAGAGGCAGCAAAGTACTGAGATCCTGAGGGACCCGAGCAGCTTCATCCCAGCCTTTGGATATGGACCATACGGCTACAACTATGGGCTCCAGCTGCAGAACTACCACCAGCACCACCACCATCACCACCACCATCCAGGTGCCACCTTCCCCTTCCAGCCCACGCCCTGCCCTTTGCCCACCGTCACCTCGGTCTTCACCAGCCCTTCCTTGCCTGGATTCAGCAGCGACCTGGGCAGGAAGTCTTTCTACTCCCAGCTCAGCCCCACCTTGCCCATTCTTCAGACTCTGAAAGCAGACTCCCAAAGTCGGCCGTCCTTCTCCATAGACAATATCATCGGTCCGACCACTCCACAATCGACCCCTACATCGCCTTACACGACTCAGCCTGGGAGCCAGGCTCAGGTCATAGCCATGCTAACCCCTTCCCTGGGCCCCCTACAGAACCATTTAAACTTGGCACACGAGAACGTTCTACAGACTCCACAGGACTTTCCTGGTAAAATCACAAATCTTAACAGCTGTCATTTCTAAACATAAAAAAAAAGATAATTTTTAATTTCAGCCTCTGTATTTAAGGTAGGAATTTATTTTAGATGACTTTTTTTTTTAACTCCAAGTCTCACCTCATCCTCCCTCTCTTCAAAGATCCTTTAAAAGTCTATTTATAAATTGTATATATGTTTTGTGCTAGGTGTACGTCACTGTTATTGCTTCAGTTTATATCTTAAACAAAATAAAAAACCATTATAAATCCCTTGGGGTGGTTGAACCCGACAGCTTTACAATGACATTGCTTTACTGTTGAGTTGCAAAATTGCCTTTCAGTTTCACCTAAAAAAAGACAAATCGCAGCCCATGTAGCAGTTATTATCGATCCTTTTAATAAACAAATTGTGAGCCATCGGCCGACTAGCTCTTACCGACTGAAGAATAGAAGCACTGATCTCAGGATTTTCAAACCCTTCTAGCACATAAGCCTTCAAAAGAGCGCTTAAACTTGTGACTTCAACATAACCCAGTGGAGTTAATGATTAATAATTGGTTAGATTGAACATTTTTTTTCTCCTTCCTCACTGGTGCGTTTTGTGTATATGTAATTATGTATATAAATCCATAGATCGGTTTTTAAAGGGGCAGCTAATCCCCCTCCCTCCCCCTTCCTCACACTGCCTGTGCATCTTCTGTGTTTTAAATTTTATGGTTTGTGAATAATCAAGTTTCTTCTTATGTGAGGGGAGGCAAATGTGCGAAAATTCGGTGAAAATTTGAAATAAATGTTTGTGAATTCACAATGATGTCTACTTATATTTTTGTCCTGGGGAAAAAGGGGGTTTAACCAGATTCCTGAAGTTAAAAGTTTAAAGATGAGCTTCAGATGTATTAAAAGCTCTAGATTTTTAGCGATTACTTTCATTTTTCTTTTAACTTTATACTTTTATAACTCCTTTTTGTTGTTATTGTATTTTTTTGTATTATTGTTATTTTTTTTATTATCGCATTTAAAACTTGTTACAATATCCCTTGGCCCTCAGCTGCCATGCGGGGGTCTTATATGTTGGAAACAGGAAACTTTGATTAATTAGCTGAATTCCTCCTCCAAACACAGACTGGGGTCTCTCGCTGAAAATGGATAGGCAATAAATTAGAAGCGATTAGGGGTGAAATCTCTTAATTACCAGCTAATTTACAGATGATATTCACTGAGGGGTGAAGTGACTGGAATTGTTTCATAGCTGAGAAATTAGCTGACAACTCTTTTTTTTTTCTGTAATATTAGTTAAAGGAGATGAATATTCAGAACTGGCCACACAGGTTACAATACACATTGCCCCTTCCTTTTTATTTTTATGGATCATGAGTGTTTGTGCATAGCTAGGTCTGCGTGAGTTCACATGTATGATATATCATCGATGCAATATATATGCACATGCCTAATCCTAATTCTGTGTGTTTATAGGCATGCATATCTATGTGAACATATATTAAGAGACGTGCATAGCTATGTGGATATTATGAGTATGATGAGTAGGATGAGTGTTTTTTTTTTTCACGTGCACGTGTTTATAACTTTTAGAAATCAGTGTTACATATTATTTTCGCAGTTCTTATAGTTTTGCTTTTGTTATCATTTACTTTTCAAAGATTAGGTAATAGTGTCCTGGGCAACACGTTAATGTAAGTGTGGGAAGGGCACAATTATTTACTTCACAAGCTTTTATGCTTATATATAAAATATAGATTTGGACATAGGAATTTATAAACTCACTACAAATTAAATTAGACCTCAGCAATATGTGGCATCTCTCTCTCTCTCTAACTCTCTCTCTCTCTCTCTAACTCTCTCTCTCTCTCTCTCTCTCTCTCTCTCTCTCTCTCTCTCTCTCTCCCTCTCTCCCTCTCTCTCTCTCTCTCCCTCTCTCTCTCTCTCTCTCTCTCTCTCTCTCTCTCCCTCTCTTTGTGCATATGTATCTGTTTATGTACAGTGAGCTTTTTCCCTGTCTTTCCAGCCATCTATCTAAATGACAAAGTTGAACCCATCATAAAGCCCCAGCTATGGCACTTCCGTCTATCTATGATCTATCCTTTTTTGCTTAAGTAACTACATCAAACTAAATACTATCCTGCTTCCAGGTGTTGCCCAAATTTTCCAGTGTCAGAGGGGTCAGATCTGCACAACCACAAACACATTTGTTGCCTCATGAAAAGCACACCCCATTTACAAAAACACTTGCTCATCCAACTTTCTACAATGAGCTACAAGCCCAGAAATGGACTAATACGGTGCAGGCCAACAGCTCCATTTTCCAGGACATTTCCTAGATCTGAGCTCTCTGCATGTGCCAGAGCTGTGTACTCCATGGCTGGATGGGGGCTGTTCATGATCAGAGGGTGTCTATTGATCCGCTGCTTTGAAGAACTGACCTTTTGTCCAATGCTCAAATGCCCCGTCCGACAGGGAAAGAGTTAAAAGCTTGTGCCTTTTAAAGAAAACTTAAAGTGTTGCTGTTAGCATGTAAATCTAACTCTTCCAGGACAGGTGATATAGAGGTCATTTTTGTAAATGATTTTTTTTAGGCCCAGTTGAAGTCTGTTGTTTTTTTCTCTTTAAATGAAACTGTTTGTTTTGCATTGCTGTAATTATAGAGTGTGACTGTTTAGACAGATGGGGGAGTGATGGGAAGACAGAGAGATAGCGAGTGGAGTGTTTTTGTTTATGTGTGTGTGCGAATAAATATATATATATCTGCGTGTGTGTATAGTGCATGTGACTTGTTATGAGTTATTATCTATCTATCTATCTATCTATCTATCTATCTATCGATCGATCTATCGATCTATCTATTAGATAGATCGATAGATCGATTGATAGATGGCAGATAGGTAAATGATAGATAGATAGATAGATAGATAGATAGATAGATAGATAGATAGATAGATAGATAGATAGATAGTCTAAACTGTTTAATGAATGTGGACACTATCTATGCCTTACGCTTCTTTTTTGGATCAGTTGTACCTAGTGTATTATTGCAAAGTACCTGGAAAAACTTTTCCTTGTTCCCCCTCCAAAATCCTCACATACATTTGATCAGAATGGTAATATTTCTCTTTCCTGTGCCAAGGGTATCAAAATAGCAGAAAGGCCACTCTATTAGACTGGGAGCTGGATACAATGTTACCATTATAATACCGAAAGGTGCGAAATCATGTTACTATTTTCTCTCTAGTGATATGGGACGTTCAACATATTGTACATACTAAGTTGTTGGTTTTATTGGCAGATATTTGTAGGCAGCGGAGCTGGTGTGAGGTATCAAATGTGCATCATAGGGAAAATAATAATTTTCTGTTGGATTGGGAGAAGGATGTGGAGTTTGCTTACTAGGAGCAACAGCCCATGCAGCTGCCTTATGGACCAGTTTTTGTGACGGAGATGCAGCATCACAAACCAGCCCCTGCTTCTAAGTAATTGCCCCAGTCTGTGGTGGTAACACAATGTAAAGCCACATTAAAGTACATTAACCTTCTCCTGTATTTCCCCACGGCTAATGCAAGTCTGCTTACCTCCTCTATCCAGCAATCATAGATCGAGCTGTGCTGCAGGTTCTATTTATGTCTGCCATATCCCTTGTTTATTTTCACACGTGTGCATGGAAATCTCCTTTCTCCTTACTATCTGACCACCCAATAAAAAGGAGAACATAACGAATAATATCTAATAAAGTGCTGATGGAAATCACAGCCTGTGCCCACTCAGATACCCTGACTGCAAAAGGGGCTTTAGAAGCCTTCTTAGAAATGACTGTATTCATTGTGTGCGATTCGGATTAAATAGGCGGCATGGCAGTCAGGTTTAGTGAGGGTTCGTTTTTTTTTTTTCTGTGCAACCTGTAATGCAAAAATATAAACAGAAGAGTTGGTGATTTTTTAAAAACTTTTACTGCTTTTATATTTAATACAGGATTTTATTTGGGCATGTGCAAATGCGAGGTGTTAAGGGGAATCTAAAAGTAAAGTAATCATGTAATTTAAACGTGTTGAGACTGGTGTGCGACAGTTCAGGTCACCTCAATTCTAGTGACACACGTGATGCAGGGCTGACAGTCACCCGGCTGTTGTATCAGAAAACTCAGCAAAGCAAAATGTCTCCGTTGCACAAGTTGTTTCATTTTGTTGTTTTTGCAGTCAGGCAGATGATAAATGCAGCCAGGTAATTAAAATTTCTTAGCTTGACTCACTAATAAAGCCGCTCCAATCGATGAATTCCTAGCTTTTTAAAATAGGGTGCACACGGGCA